TGCTCTGTGATCAGGGGAAATGCAGATGCAAGATGTCAGATGCACATCTTCATCTTACTGATGCTGAAGTACTATAAGCTCTGAATATTCATTGACAGTTGCCAACTGATACCAAACATGCAATGGTAAGGGAAGCACTAGGGAATTTTATATTTCTCCTATAGCAGCCAACATTTTAAAATGAAATCTGTCTTTTTTTTCCTTGTTCTTAATTGGAATTAGGGAAAGAGAAAATAACCCCAGCAGCTGGAAATGTTGAATCAAATTATTGATTATGCACCATCAAATCATTGTGGACTTTTAGAAACCACATAGATTTTCTCCTTGAGGAACTGTCTCTAACCTGGTTTTTCACATCTTTCAATGATATCACTTTGGAACTGAATCCATACACCTTGCTGGTGGTCATCCTGTTCTTTTCCCCCCACCCACACCCCTTTTATCTTTCCTAATATTAGAGCCTTCTCCAGAGATCTAGATATTGGTATAATGTGTCCAAAATAGGATAATTTGAGCCTGGTCATTTGTGCCTGAAGTGAGAACACTGGCTTGATTTATTCAATGAGTCTTTGATTCTCAGCCTTCTCCAACTGTATCAATATTCTTTCCATCCTTCTTCTCTAACGTCCAACTTTCAGTTCTCTAGAATGTCGTGGGGAGAATCCCATGATTCTGATCTTAAAATGTTGGATGGCTTTGGAAAAAATCTGGTAATTCTAGGCTTTGTCAGTTTGAATTCATTTCAGCTGGATGGCTTATGGTAGAATGTCTGAAGGCTGCATACAACTTCCTATCAACTGCAGTTGTGTAATCAGAATCCAAAATGGCCTGTTTGTGGTAGCTTTTTTTCCCAGGTTTAAGATAGGAAGTGGAACAGGAAATTCTGGCAGGCAAAATACTCCCATTCCCATTTTTTTATCTTCCCAACCACATCCAAACAGTAGCCTAGGAATAGCATCAAAAATAGTAATTTTAGTTTGTTTTTTCAGGAGGTATTAAGCTTGAGAAAATTCTTTCAAGATGGGGTAGAAAATGTTCATATTGCATTATTTTAACTATGTTTGGTGGAATAAGCTATAATGGCTAGCTTCATACATCACACTAATCCAACCTCCCTCCCCGCAATGTATTATAATTTAGCATTATGTGTAAAGTCAGCTGCAAAGAACTAGACATAGTTTTCTTTATATTCTTATTGGATGCAGATCCATGTTGCTAATGACTTAACCTTTGTCCTATCTATTTATATTTAGTTGGATGCTAGTGACTCAAGCTCTAGCAGCAACCTTTCTCTTGCTAAAGTCAGGCCAAGTAGTGATCTCAACAATAGCACTGGACAGTCTCCACATCACAAAGTTCAAAGAAGTATATCTTCTAGCCAGAAGCAGCGAAGGTACAGCGACCATGGTGAGTGACTTTTCGTTGTCTCAGATCTCTTCTGCTGTAGAAAACCGACACATAGGTGTAGAGCAGTGGTTCTCAACCTTTTTAATGCCGCAACCCCTAACCGGTCGTAAGTTGAGGACTAAACCGGTCGTAAGTCAAGGACTAAACTGGTCGTAAGTTGAGGACCACCCAACCGGTCGTAAGTCGAGGAGTTTCCCTTCCCGGGAGCGCCGCGCATGCATGGTTCCGCCCCCCTGCGCCAGCCGAGGCGTAGCTGGCAAGCAGCAGAGACGGAGCAGGCCGACCACCAGCTGGCCCAGCCCAAGGGAGGTAAGGCACCCACCGGAAAAGGGGAAAAAATGGCGGACAGCCTTGCTTGGCGACCCCCGTGAAATGGTCGATCGACCCCAAATAGGGTCGCGACACATAGGTTGAGAACCGCTGGTGTAGATGTTGAGTCTCTGCCTCCATAGAAAAAGATTGTGCCGCAATGAAGAGTTTAGCAAATGGTTAATCAAAAAGTTTTGAATTTAATGGTGGAGGCCAACTATGTACTATAGCTTCTCTTGTTGCAGATTTAACTATTATTCAAGACAATAGGCGATAAATGTTCATGCCAAATAAATTCTAAAAACTAATAAAGGGATATTTGATGAATTGCTATTCATTATGAAATACATATTTGGACACATTTCTATATATTTAACCCAAATACCAATAGGAATTTATTAGATACAGTATATTGACATATCTCTTGCTATGTCCATTATCTATAGCACAATTTTAAAACAGTATTTTTATACTATATATAGTTTTACTTAAATCTTATCAATAAGAAAAAATATTTATATCAAATAGCATTCTTACCAAATGGATTGGTTTAGTGAGCACATTTTTTTCAAGATTTCTTGCCACAAAACACCTCTTCTTCTAGTTCTGCTGTGTGATGGTACATGTGTATGCGTGTACATTTGTGTTTTTGTTTTCTTTAGGAACTTCATGGTTAATCCTACTCTCATTTCCTTTTCTTCTGTGGATAATTTGTCATTTATTTCACAAAGTTTCTAATTATATATGGGGGCTGCGCAGTGGCTCAGTGGTTAAGATGCTGAACTTGTTGGCTAGAAAGCCGGCAACCCAGCTCCAAGACCTGAACGCCACACGCCAGGGTGAGCTCCCATCATTGTCTCAGCTCCTGCCAACCTAACAGTTCACAAACATATAAATGCAAGTAGATAAAGAGGTACCACTTCGATGGAAAGATAACAGCACTCTGTGATGTAATGCTAGCCACATGACTGCGAAAATGTCTTCAGACAGTGCTGGCTCAATGACCTTGACATGGAGATGAGTGCCGCCCCCTACTAGCAGAGTAAAATCCACAGGGATTCCTTTACCTTTTTAACCTAATTATACAGAGCAATGACTCAATCAGATTTGCTCTGTATGGATATAATAAAAGCAGACATTTTCTTATTTTTCATGAATTTGAAGACTTAATCCCAAACTGCAAAAGATTGGGGGTTTTTTGCTCAGTTTCTAAAAGTTGTGTGAACAAAATTAAAAGCTCCATCTTCTTACACCAGTGCAATTTATTACAAAGCAAAATAGGTTGCATTTGAATTAATTTTCTAGAGGCTATATACCGGTGGTGGCGAACCTATGGCACGAGTGCCACAGGTGGCACGCAGAGCCCTCTCTGTGGGCACGCGCACCGTTGCCCCAGTCCTAGGCCTTCAACTGGGTTTTATAAAACCTTTTTGCTTTAGGTCTCCGCCGCCGTGTGCAAAAAAAAAAAAAGTTCAATCAATCAATTTCAACTTCTCGCGGGAAAAAAAAGATCTTGCAAAGTTGGAATTGATTGATTGAATTTTTTAGTCCCACCCAGTCTGCCGTTTTCACCGAAACCATGCCCACCCAATGGGCCACACCCACCCGTCGCCCGATGATACATAAGTGGGTTTTGGGTTGCAGTTTGGGCACTCGGTCTCTAAAAAGTTCGCCATCACTGCCCTATACCATTTCAGACAGGATGTTGTACTGACATTGGAAGACTCAGGTTCTAATCTACTCTTAGAACAGAAGTGCTGTAGGACAGTCATTTTCCCAGCCTACATCAAAGGACTGTTGTTGTGGAAACAAGAGAAAACTATATATGCTACTTTGAGCTTTTGAACAAAAGGAATGGTACAAATTTCACAAATACATAAATTATTAAATTCCTTCTGACACACTTGCTAAGAGTTGCGAAAGATAAACATGGCTTACTATTTCTTCTTTTTCCTTCAAAAGAGCTAATGCAATCAGGTGTCTTAAGAATGTTTGAAAATTAACAAAAAAAACAAAAAAGTCCACGTTTAATATGTGATTGCATATTAATAGGCATATAATAAAAGCAGCAGTTTAAAAAGTTAAACAATATGATTTTTAAGATCAAGTGGTACCAGGAGCACTATTGCAATACTTACACCACTAGAGGTCATTAACAAGAGTGACAGTGATGTTTCTGTTCAGCATCTAGGCTTGAATCTTGGCTGGAAAAGGTCCAGCAAATCCATTTCATCTCTGCAACAACCTTACTAAAAAAGAAAAGTTGAAGAATGGCTGATAGTTATCTAAAACAGAGGAGTCAAGTGATAACATCTTAAGATAGGGCAGGGACATAGTAATACTTCTTCCAAAGTAGGAGGTAACCCCCACCCATCCACATTCAAGAATGCATGTTCTTAATTGAACTATCTTCACTCTTACAAGAATTAGAACATGTCTCTAATTTTTTACTCTTGGGTTTCAGAGAGAAATGCTGCACTAGTAGTAGAAAACAAAAGAATTGCCCTAGAGAGTGAGAAGCTAAGAAAAGTAGATGTATGGTTGGTAATGTCCTCACTAAATATTTCTTAGATATAGGTAATTATTTCTTAGGTATTACATTTTCATGGATACTTTGCAATCATAATATACAATGATTCTGTATTGTTGTTTTTCAGCTGGTCCATCTATTCCTCCAGTAGTAGCCTATCCCAAAAGAAGCCAGACAAGTACTACTGACAATGACCTCAAAGAAGAAGGGGTTCCATCAAGGAAGTCCAGCAGCAATACAGCTGGAGGAAAAGGAATTGCTCCTGCTAGCCCTATGCTTGGGAATGCAAACAATCCAAATAAAGCTGATATACCTGAGCGTAAAAGAAGTTCTGCTACGCCCAATGTAAGTTGTGGATTTTCTTTAAATTATAAGACTATCTTATTCTTCAATCAACCTTATGTAATAGGAGCAATTTGGGGCAAAACACGTTAGCATGGTATCTCAGGCCTTTTAAATTCTGTGCTGTAATCATTATTCTATAAATTAGCTTAGTAGCCTATTAATTCTAAACTGTATTCTGAATGTGGGTATGATTGTGAGAATCTGTTGATTAGTTTTTTTTCCTTCTGAGTCAACTTTGAGCTTAAAGGTGAACCAAGTCATTGTTATGGTATTGACACAATGTTTTTGATTATTTTTGGACTGGCTATTAGTGTGGAGTTCTGTAAAGCAAATGGACATTGACCAATTTTAGAAACATGATATATACTGCTCACAAAAATTAACGGAACGTAAACCCCTTTAGTTCCATGGTAAAATGTTCCCTTTATTTTTTTGAGCAGTATAGATAGTTTTCCAAAAATACAGTTGGAGAATTACTACCTTGCTTGTTGAAATTTTGATTGTGGAAAGTGAAAATGCTTCTGGTAATAAAAGTTGTTGCTTTAGAGTCAGATAAGCTTTCAGATTTAATAATAATTGGAGGTGAGTGAAACAGAAATGGAAAAAAGAATTGCACAACTTAGTATCATCCAGAGAGCTGATCTATGACAGTGAAGGCATCCTAGTCATGTCCTCACAAAATCATCCACACTGTCTCTGGGTGGATCTTTTTTCCCAGTTCTCCCAGCTTTCTCAAACATAATCAGTCTGACCACCAGCAAATTTCCTGTCTGAGATGCAGTACATTTAGTCCCATAAACTTAAACTCATTTAAAGTTAATACAGAGAATCAGTTTGGTGTAGTGGTTAAGGTCTTAGGCTAGTGCTGCCTTAGGCACAAAGCCAAAGAATGCAATGGGAAACCAGTTCTGAAAAATACTGCTAAGAAGACTGCAGGAACTTGTCCAGGCAGTCCCTGAGAATCAGACGTGTGTGTATCCATGTGTATAATTCTTAAGTTTCACTCCTGGAGAGTGCATACCATTTTCTTTGAAGAAACCAAGTCAAAATAAGGGTTGAGTAGCTGTGCCTTTTCTTTGTATTCTTAATATTTTACCATTTTCAGTGAGTAGCTGTACACTTTTTAAAAAATTTGACACATATTTGATTAATTTCTTCATTAAAATCCATTATTTTGAATTACAAGATTTAGGTATGATTCAGCTTGAATATCCCTTAAAATCAAGAACAACAGAATTAGCGTGCTCATTATTCCCTAGTATTCCTACTTCTTGTATTACTCAACACAAAATGTCCTATCCGTTAATACCCAGTCAGGGATAGATGATCTTCTTGGGTTTCCTCCACCTTCTGAAAGAGAAAATTGTCAGCAAAATTAGTCAGGAATTCTTGAAAGGTCATGCTTTACAGATTTTATTTTTCAATAAATACCGTATTTTCCGGCGTATAAGACGACTTTCTAAACCCTGAAAATCTTCTCAAAAGTCAGGGGTCGTCTTATACGCCCAGTCGTCTTATACGCCGGAATATACAGTATCCATATAATGAACGCTTGGGAAGGGAAAATGCTCAAGGTTGCTTCTGGGAGCGCCGGGGGGGGGAGAGATACAGAGTTGCCGGCTGCGCAAACAGAAGCCCCTTTGTGCAGCCCCTTCCAGTTGCTTCGCCGCGTGTCCCTTTTTGTTTTTATATACATCTATCCATAAATTTATATTGATACTTTGCAAACCCCCCCCCCCCACCGGAGAGTGATTGCATTAAGAAAAATCTGATGTTGCGGGCAGGGGAGAAGGAACTATCTGCTCCCCCCGCCACTTTCCTGGCCGCGCCGCCTTCTCGCGGCCTCAGCTCGCATCCCCTTTTGTTGCAAGCGACCAATCGATCCTCGCTACTCTTCTGCTGCCGCCACCACCTCCTCCACCTCCTCCGCTCTTTCTCCAAAGGCTGAGCCCGCCCCCGCCAGCCAGCCAGCCAGCGAGAGAGGAGCGAGCCTCGGTGGGACGAGTATGCCATCCCATGCCGCCTCGCCTCGCCTCCGCTCACCCAGCTGCCTCGCTCGAGGGCCAACTGGAGACCAGGAGTGAGGAGGACGGACCAGCATCCGAGGGGCCAGGCCGCAGCGGATCGGGCGGTGTCATCGGAGTCGGGCGGCTGGCTGCGCCCTCCCCTATTGTCTCCGCTCGGCACGGGACAGGGTTGGACGGCCGTTGGTGCGGCATGGCGGGTTTGCGGTGCCATGCTCGGGTGGGCAAGGCAGGAGAGGTCTCGTCTGTCCGTCCGCCTGGTTGTCTGGTGCGGGGAGAGCGGGGTGGGGGTAGGCAAGCCCTGCTCTCCGGCTGCCGCAACATGCACCTGTTACCATCGAAACCCAGAAGGGGCGCCCCATGCGACCCTACCCCATCGCCGCGTTCACGGAACTCCCCTCGCACGCAGTTGCATAAGCGGCCAGAGATGAAAGTTTCTGCGAACCTCAACCCCAGCCCCATTACCTTTCTCCACTTTACATAACCTCAGTTCCTGGGAAGCGTTAAGATGATTTCCCAGGCCTGGTTAGCTGAATTTGCACCCTAAGAAGCAAGAAAGGCAGAAGGAGGCCATTGAGAGGAAAAATGGGAATTTTACTGATGTAAAGTGGAATATTATCCTATTTTCTGGCAGGAGATTTTCTTCAAATTGTCAATCTTCAGAACCAATAGACAAAGTTTCCTGATATTTGGGAGTTGATAAGAACATCTAATATAAAAGGCAGTTCCTTCAATCTACCTTAACCCAATCAGGTCCAAAGGCCACATTTTTGTTGTATTCCATTCTGCTGCATCACCTCCCATCATCCACAGCTGAGTGGTAATGGTTTATGAGAGCTGGAATCTAATACTTAAAGAAATCCAACATAACACTGGTTCACATATCGTATCCAGTGCTATTTTGCTTTAATTATGGTTGTTGAATAAACATCAGTACCTACACACATGGGCTAAATCCATAAGCCATGATTTGCAAACATCAGTAGCTGGATATATGTAACCTACATTAAACCAGTCATAATGGTTTAGGGTAATAGAAGAATCTATTTATTCATATCCTGTTCTATGTATACCTCAGTTGAGTGGACAGGAATAATAGGGTTTTTTTTAATCTGTCCAAAAAGAAAGTAAAACATGGCTTAAGATGGGCTTGGTCTCACAAGCTGTCCTCCTGCTATTCAACTACCGTATTTTCCGGCGTGTAAGACGACTTTCTAAACCCTGAAAATCTTCTCAAAAGTTGGGGGTCGTCTTATACGCCCAGTCGTCTTATACACCGGAATATACGGTATTAGAATAATTAAGAACACAAAACATCCTTAACATATGGATCTTCCACATCTAAATTCTCCCTGATTAACAAGAACTAGTCATCAACAATCCTTTATTAAAAGTTCAAGCTCATTTAGTGTGCATTTAGATTATTTCATCTTGACTTTACTTGGGGTGATTCTTGAAAATGCTGGAACATAGTATCTAAGCTTCTGAAAAATACAGAGTAACATTATCATTTTTCCATAATAATCAAACTAAACAACAAAACAAAATGTTATTTATAACATTCACTATTATAAAATGGCAATTAAGACCCATCTTTTTAACTTGTACTTTTAAAATGCATTTGTTTTCTCTGCTATCATGATTGTTTTGTTGTTATCAGTATGGCATTTTCTTTTTGTTATCTATTTTAGTAACTTTTATAGAAAGGCTATATAAAAATACTAATAATAAATGAAATCCATTAAATTAGTAAGCTTCCATCAGAGTTCCATATAGAATAGCTGTCTGTTACAACCCCTGATATGTCTTACAAAGACATATCTCTTCATCTTCTCTCCATCTTTGTCCAGTTATAAACTGCCTTGAGATTTTTTCATTTCATTCAGTAGTAATATTGTTCAAATAATACATAATGCAAGATACTGAGTATTGTGTCAATGTTTTGCACTGCTTAGCTTATCCAAGCCTACTAGGCAGTCATAGAATTATGGAGTTGGAAGAGGATCATGTAGTCCAAATTCTTCTTAAAAACCTCCAGAGATGGAGAACTCAGGAAGACCATAAATAGATTGTTTTATACTATAGATCTTACTGTCATGAATTTCTTCCTTATTTAAACAAAATCTGTTCTAAAAATTTAATTTATTCTATTTACATAGCTACCCATCTGTCAGGTACAAACAACCAGACCCACAATTGAAGAGTTCAGTTAGTTGCTTTATTGCTAAAGCCTCTTATCTGAGTGATACTAGATAAGTTCAAGGGCAGTTGTGGGGAGGGGTGTCTGACTTTATTCTCTTATGCCCATGTAGGGATTCTGACAATTCCCCATTTGACCTCCTTCTCTTGACTGGGCCACTCTCTCTCCTACACTATCTCATAACAAAGACTCTAGACAGATGCTTTCAATGTGCTGTATTGTACTTCTAATGTGCTAATTCCCCTTGTCTCAACAATGATATTTAAAAAAATCTCCCACAGTTGAATGAAAATTGCAGTTTATGTAATCTGTTAAAAGTCCTACAGTAGATTATATCTAGACATTAATTAGTATATAGCTTAAGCAGATTCTTAGTAAAAAAAAAAACAGCCAATGGAAACCATTGCATTTATGACGTCAGAATTTCTCAGAATTTCTTGAAATTTAAACAGATAAAGGGAATCATAATGGAATGGCTTGTGACATTTCTGGCCCACATTCTTAGTTAATGGGATTACTCAGAGGGAGAAAAATCAAAACTTTCCAGCTATTGTTTCCTATTAAGTCCCAATAGGTGCATGTTGATTTCTGATAAATAAGCCCATTGTTTATTTGCTGCATATCTCTTTTTAAACAGTCTTATATCTGATAATTCCATGCTCATTGATAGAAAACTATTCATGACTTGGGTACATTGTTTCTTTGGAAAGTAAGAAGCAAATAATTATTTAACTTTTGTTTTTGTACTGTTGTCCCCACACAAAATATTTTAAATGGGCTTGTGGTTATTTTTTCATTCTGTATATTTGTATCCATATTTCATCATGTATTGTCCAGTATTTTTGCCTATATCCTTTCTGTTTTTACTTTCTTTTCTATTTAACTAGACTTTCTTTGCAGCTGTTAAAAATAGACATTATATTTCTATTTTAATCTGTTACATTTTATACTAATATCCTACAATGATCCCTTCCTTAGGCAATCAATATAAATGTGGTTTTTCTTTTCTCAGAGCAACACTACACCTGGAGCCATGACACGGCGAAACACTTATGTTTGTAGTGAACGAACTCCTACAGACAGACACTCGGTAATTCAAAATGGCAAGGAGAGCAGGTAAGAGTTTCGGAAAGGAGGGTTAGGTACCTATTTCAGGATTATTGAAAGCATATCAGCAAAAAAGTGCTTTTTAGTGAAGAAGATAAGCATGATAAAAGCAAACAATACAGAGATATGCAAAATTCTATCCTAGGCCTGGAATGTTCTGGTATTTCCCAGAACATTCTGTTTTTCTCCTGGAATGTACCAGATTGGGCGATTCCAGGGGAAGAACAGAATATTGTTGAGAACTTTAGAATATTTCGTGCTTGGAATGCAGTTTTGCATAAAATTAATCAATAGCTGAATTATTTAATTTTGTGATTATCTACTTTAGTATATGCTGATTTGTCGTCATTGAAAATAAGATATCTTATTATTGTACATATGTTAAAAAGAAGTATTACTATAGGACAGTAAAATTTAAATATGTTCAAAAATGTCTGCCTCTGAAGACTAACATGCATATTATACCCCACCATATATTTGTTTTCAGTCACTTCTTAACTTTCGAAACTTGATAATTGTTTTCTATGTATGTTCACATTCTATTATGTATCAATATATAATACAACATGCTGTTTTTGATCTCTTTGATCTCTACCTAAATTTAGAGCATAAGTAAACATTTTAATATTTATATGATTGTAAATTCTAAAGTGTAAAAACAGGTAGCAAGTAATAATAATAATAATAATAAAGTTGGAAGGGACCTTGGAGGTCATCTAGTCCAAGTCCCTGCTCAGGCAGGAAACCCTATACCATTTCAGAAGAATGGCTGTCCAGTCTCTTCTTAAAAACTTCCAGTGTTGGAGCATTCGCCACTTCTGGAGGCAGGTTGTTCCACTGGTTAATTGTTCTAACTGTCAGGAAGTTTCTGCTTAGTTTTAGGTTGCTTCTCTCCTTGATTAGTTTCCATCCGTTGCTTCTTGTCCTGCCTTCAGGTGCTTTGGAAAAATAGCTTGTCTCCCTCTTCTTTGTGGCAGCCCCTGAGATATTGGAACACTGCTATCATGTTCCCCCTTGTCCTTCTCTTCATTAAACTAGACATACCCAGTTCCAGCAGCCGTTCCTTATATGCTTTAGCCTCCAGTCCCCTAATCATCTTTGTTGCTCTTCTCCAGCACTGAGATGGAGACTCCACCATTGGGTAGTAGACTGTATTCCTGCCCAATCAGATCAAGTCAGCCAAAGTTGCCACGCCCGTCCTGGACCGTGATCTCCAGTCTTTGACTTGATCTTGCCCAGGACAGACGTTGCAAGTTTGGCTCTAGGCAGGTACAGTCTTTGGTGGATTTCCATTCCCAGTGCTTGCACCCAATTTGAAACTCCCCTCAAAAATTTCCCTGTAGGTATTTCTAACAGAGACTAACGGCTGTTAGTCTCATTTCTGTTTATTTGGGTTTAGGATTGGGCCTGGCAGTGACTCACACGAGGTTTTTTATTCTCCCGTAAGGAGGCCAACGGCTGTTGGTCTCCAAATACCACGAGCCTAACGGAGCTTGCGGCTGCGGCTCTGTAGGCTGATTAAACGAACGGAGAAAGGCCTCGGGGGGGAAGAAGATTCTTTCCCTTGCTCGGCTCAGTTCCTTTTTTAACCCGATCGGGGACCAACGGCCGTTGGTCTCCAGCTATAGACCTCACGGAGCTTGCGGCTGCAGCTCCGTAGACTCGGGCGTGATTTTAAATTCGGGGGAGGGGGGGGAGAAGCCCCTGGATTACCCTTAAACGCCGTTTTCCTTCGCGGAGCTGCGGCTGCAGCCCTCGTGGCCTGCTTGTTCTTGGCCTTCTCATCCTCGTTCGCTTCAGAGATCGGAGGTGCGCGCGTTCGGCCTCCGCTACGATCGGTGAGGCCGGCTAATTGAAGGTTGGAAAACAGTTTTTGCTCCGTTTTTTTCTCGTCGTTTGTCGATCGCTCGTACACGGAGGCTCCAGAGAGTGCGGGGGGTGGTGGAGATAATTTCCCCAGCCCTGCCTGTATCAGGGAACCGCCATCTTGAGCCTCGTGGGATTTAGCTTGGCCGCGACGGCCATTTTGAAACCGTAGTTGGTCTGAGGCAATTGATTTAATTAGTTGGTGGAACGAATTTAACCTAATCAGGGCTAATATCACACATACTCATTATCAGACAGCTTCCCTTTCTCTTAATGGAGGCAATATTGGGTTAACAATATATCTGTAGCAAGATAGACCGCCATTTTGGCCCGGTCGCCATTTTGTTTTCTTGATTTCTACAACATAAAGTTAGGAACATTCCATTATTCTTGTTCCAAGACTCTTCAAGCTTCAATTTGATTATTATTTCAGATTTGGTGTCTCCTGGTTTCTTCCTTTTTTTTCTGATTTGGTTTTGACAAATTGGCACAATACTGGGATTCCAGACACCCCCTATAGCGTGTCTGTCCTTATCCACAGTGTTTTCAGTACGAATTCCAGGCTCCCCTTATAGAGTGTCTGTCCTTATTCGTACTTGGTTTCTCCCTTGGATTCCAGGTGCCCCAGCAGTGTACCTGTCCTTATCCAACCGGGATTATACCTGGGTTCCAGGCGTCCCTGCAGTCCGTCTGTCCTTACCCAGAGTTTGGCATTTTCCTGATAACAGAAACCCCCTATTGTGTTTCAAGGTTATAGGAAAATGGAGGAAACTTCTCTTTCCTCAATGAGTGCCCCGCCTTCCTCATCAGGTACTCCTGGTCCGGAAGGCACTGGTAAAGCGACCCATAAGGGCCGTTCTACCGCCAAAACATCTAAACAGGTTGATAAACAAGCTACCAGGAGGCACCAAGCCTTGGAAAAGGAGTTCTCCAAAGCGAAAAGGAGTTCTCCAAAGCGCAGAAGAGAGCTAGGCTGGAGACTCATGGGTCTGCGGAGTTAAATTTAGAATTACCTCTAGGGGTTTCAACTTCTCCCAGGGGTGTTTGGTCAGGTGGGGATTGCTTCCCCCCTCCCGCACAAGGCGGAGTGGAACAGGTTTCCCCAGCTCCACAACCCTCCACGTCCAGGGCAGCGCAGGGGGGTCCTGAGGCCACCTTTACACCTACTGCGGCGGGGCTCCGCCCAGCAGAACCGATCCCCTTCCTTTCGGAAGAGCGTCTGGCGCTATTAATTAAACAAGCAGTCGACCATGCCCTTGACACTAGGGGCAGGACGGCTAGGCCAGTCTCTTCTCTTCCAACCCCTCTTTCCCAACCTGAGGTGGAGGATCATTACGTCCCATCTTCTCCTTCTGGGTCTGTTGTTTCTGAGGACTCCTAACTCAACCAACCTCCCCCTTGTCAGGAAATTCTAATGTCAGAGGAGGAGGACGTTCCTCCAGAGGCTCCTGCATTTACGGGCTTATTTAACCCTGCCTTTTTTGTCACCATCCTGCGCAAGGCCACGTCTATGGCTCATCTAGGACAGGGATCCTCGTCAACGGAGGCTCCCGCTCTTCCAGATCCGGAGGCGGCTCCAGTTTACGTTGAACCGGTCGCAACACAACACCGTATTCCCTGTCCTTCCCTGTTTCTGACCGCAATAAAAAAGCAGTGGTCCTCTCCGGCATCACTTCCCTTACCAGGTAACACAGATAAGAAACTGTATAATGTTGCCAAGGAGCTGGAGGAAGCATTAGAAATCCCGGAGGTGGACGAACCCTTAGGGCCCCTAGTATCGGCCACGGCCATATCCGGTGAGTTCTCAGAGGCCCTTAAGGCCGAGGAACGCAAGTGCGAGTCCACCTACAAGAGAACGCACCAGGCGGCTGCCTGGGCGATCAAGACCGCGACTTCGGCCTCCTTTTTCACCAGGGCCGCCCTCACCTGGCTTCGGGAGCTCCAAGCCCGAGTTCCTGCGGAGGATGTCCGCACGCACTTGGATCTCAGCAAAATGGTGGCAGCCACGGAATATGCGTCAGACGCATCCTTACAGGCAGCTAGGTTTTCTTCCAGAGCTATGGCGTCCAACATCACTGGAAGACGTATGCTCTGGCTGAAAAATTGGCAAGTAGATGCCAAATCCAAGTGGAAATTGGCTGCGGCTCCCTACCAGGGTTCTAAGTTATTTGGGGATTCGCTGAATCCCTATTTAACAGAGAACAAGGACAAACGTAAGGTCCTTAAAGACCTACTCAAACGGCCGAACAGGAGGGCTGGGTATTTTCAAAGAAAGCAGTCCTTTCGGGGGGGACCTAGATACTCCTATTCTCAGCCCTTTCGTTCCTTCCCGCCAAGGCAGGACAGGCAAGATAGGCAGCCTGACAGACAAAATCCCGGTCCCAGACAACAAGCCCAGGGGAAACGGCCCTTTCGGGGGAACAATAGGCCTTTCCGCCGTTCCAGGTGACTCCTCGGCGGCACCTCCCATAGGGGGCAGACTCTCTCTGTTCGCCCACTGTTGGGAGACTACCACCACGGATACGTGGGTCATCAACACGATCCGACACGGTCTAAATTTGGAATTTATATCTTACCCCCCAAATCGGTTCCTCTCCTGTCCATACCCCAGGAACCGCACAAAACTAAGGCTGATGAACGAGGCTATCCATCATCTGCTTCACATCAGGGCCATAGAACCCATACCGCTGGATCAGAGAGATCAAGGATTCTACTCCATCCTCTTTGTCGTACCAAAAGCATCAGGGGGATGGAGGGCTATTCTAGATCTAAAGGACTTGAATTTTCATATAGCTTACCACAAATTCAAGATGCAAACGCTCCGTTCCATCTTGGGAAGCGTCAGAAAAGGGGACCTCCTGACGTCTATCGACCTCACGGAGGCGTACCTTCATATCCCAATCTCTCTGATCCATCGACGGTTTCTTCGGTTTGCATACAAGGGGAATCACTTCCAATACAGGGCGCTCCCCTTTGGCCTCTCATCAGCTCCGAGAGTATTCACCAAAGTCTTGGTGGTCCTGGCAGCACATTTACGATTGATACCAGTAAGAGTCCACTGTTATCTGGACGACATTTTGATTCAGTCTTCGTCCGTCCAGACAGCATTGACGGACCTCAAAATAGTGATAAAATTGCTCCAGGACCACGGTTTTCCGGTGAATTTTCCAAGGAGCCACTTAAGCCCCACAACGAGGATTTTACACCTGGGGGCCGTCATAGACACCTTGGAATGCCGGGTGTATCTCTCTCAAGATCGCAGGGACGGTATACGGGAATCGATCCTTCGACTTCGCAGCAGTCGATCGACGACGTTGGTCAGTCTCTCCCAGTTGTTGGGGAAGATGATTTCTGCCATAGCGATAGTACCCTGGTCAAGGCTCCACACCAGAGAACTGCAAAGGTTCATGCTTCCTTTTCAGAGGCGGAACCTCAGTGCTTCGCTCAACAGAGTAGTTCTCCCTCACCACGTGCTACGTTCCCTCAGTTGGTGGCTGTCACCAGCCATCCTCAGAGGGTTGTGTTTCAAGGAGCCGGACAGGATTGTCCTCACGACCGACACCAGCCTGTTCGGTTGGGGGGCTCACATTCGGTCTCACTGGGTACAGGGCCGTTGGTCCGCTTCAGACCTACGGCACAATATAAATTGGCTAGAGTTGAGGGCCATCCATCTAGCTCTTCGACATTTTCGCCATCTAGTATCACGGCGACACGTCCTGGTCCTCACGGACAATGTGGCAGCCAAGGCATATATAAATCGCCAAGGGGGCACTCGATCTCGGAGCCTGATGTCCGAGGCTCTTTCGTTGGGTCTCTGGGCGGAACGCAATCTGGCATCTATCATGGCAGACCATATTTCGGGGGTAGCAAACACACAGGCCGATCTTCTGAGCAGGTCGACGATAGATCACGCGGAGTGGAGACTCCACCCGAGGATCTTCCAGGAAGTTTGCCTCCGTTTTGGTCTTCCTCTAGTGGACCTTTTCGCGTCCCAGTACAATGCCCATCTGCAACGTTTTTTCTCCCGGTTTCCGACGGTGGGGGCGGAACGGACGGATGCCCTTCGGAGTCCTTGGCCGCAGGGCTTGCTTTACGCATTTCCCCCTCTGCCAATTCTCCCAGCGGTAATCCGCAAGATTCTTCAGGAGCGAGCGGAGGTTCTCCTGGTGGCTCCCTTTTGGCCACGGAGACCTTGGTTCGCAGATCTGGTGAATCTTTCAGTCAGCGACCCTTGGCGGATTCCGCCGGATCAGGTCTCTCTCAGCCAAGGCCCCATTCTGCATCCCGATCCCCAGTGGCTCCAGTTAGCCGTCTGGCACTTGAGCGCTTGATCTTGACTGGAGACAGCTGTTCCCAAGGAGTTATAAAAGTTATTCAGGCATCGCGCCGTCCGTCCACGAACCGCATATGAGGCCACGTGGAAAAATTTCCAATCATGGTGTTCCGGGAGGCAGTTGTCACTTTCGGCACTTACTGTGCCAATTATTTTGGATTATTTATTGGAAGGTCTAAAAAAAGGTTTAGCCCCTAATACCCTTCGCAGGCAAGTCGCGGCTGCGACTCTGCTGAATCACTGGGTCATCATCCTTTGGTAAGGTCGTTCCTTAAGGGAGCCTCCAACCAACATCCTCCTGTGGTACATAGATACCCCTCGTGGGAGTTGTCAAGGGTGCTTCGGGCTATTACCAAATCTCCTTTTGAGCCTCTCAGGACATGTGACATTCGTTCTCTGTCCCACAAAGTGGCCTTCCTGGTGGCTATCACCTCGCATTTCGGAGCTGGCGGCGCTTTCAGTGAGAGATGACCTATGTGTTTTCCAACAGGATAGGGTTATCCTTCGGTTAGATCCTACCTTCGTGCCAAAGGTTAATTCCCTATTCCATAGGTCGCAGGAGATAGTGCTGCCTGATTTCTGCCCCAACCCGTCGCATGGATTGGAGCGGCAATGGCATTGTTTGGATGTCCGCAGGGCCCTTAAACATTATATTTCACGGACTGCGGAGTTCAGGAAATCGGAAGCCCTCTTTGTATCTTTCCACGCTTCCACCAAAGGTCGGAAAGTGTCCTCTTCCACTGTTGGGAGATGGATAAAGGCATGCATTGCTGGAGCTTACAAAGCTGAGTCGTTGCCGGTTCCGCGGGGTGTGACAGCCCACTCCACACGGAGCGCGGCTACTTCGGCGGCATGGGCCACTCAAGCTTCCATCGAGGAAGTCTGCAAGGCAGCCACTTGGGCTTCGCCTTCTCCTTTCGTTAGGCACTATAAAATTGATAAGTTTGCCTCGGCTGAGGCTTCATTCGGAAGGAGAGTTCTCCAACAGGTTTTACACCAAAGTGCCACTCGGGACCTGTCTACTACCCACCCTCAGGGACAGTAGGCTTTGGTATGTCCCAATGGTGGAGTCTCCATCTCAGTGCTGGAGAAGGGGCGTTGTCTTACCTGAACGCCTTTTCTCAGCACGGAGATGGAGACTCCACCTCCCTCCCTTGTACTTTGTATACGCATAGGGTCAGTTAGTTTGGTGAGCCACAACGTCTTGCTGTCAGTCAATGGCTACGCTCGCGTCAAAGACTGGAGATCACGGTCCAGGACGGGCGTGGCAACTTTGGCTGACTTGATCTGATTGGGCAGGAATACAGTCTACTACCCAATGGTGGAGTCTCCATCTCCGTGCTGAGAAAAGGCGTTCAGGTAAGACAACGCCCCTTCTCTGTACTCTTTCTAGAGTCTCAGCATCTTTTTTTACATCGTGGTGACCAAAACTGGATGCAGTATTCCAAGTGTGGCCTTACCAAGGCATTGTAAAGTGGTATTAACACTTCACATGATCTTGATTCTATCCCTCTGTTAATGCAGCCTAGCACTGTCTTGGCCTTTTTGGCAGCTGCAGCACACTGCTGGCTCATATTTAAGTGATTGTCCACTAGGACTCCGAGGTCTCCCCTTTCTTTCTTTCTTTCTTTCTTTCTTTCTTAGCATCTTGTCTAGAATGATGACCAAACATATTCAGGCAGGAAGAAGAAGAAAGCAGGAGGCAGGGGAAGGTCCTTTGGTTTGATGTAATATCTCTTCCTGTGATTTTTGCAATCACTTTTTGGAGAAATTGAATCTCCAAGAGAAAGAAATTGAATCTTCTGGGAATTTGCATATGTGTTTTTTTAAAGCAAAGATAATAAATAAAAGGGTGTATATATATATCTGTTTTTGGAGGGGCATAACATATATACTTTTTTCCATAATATTTATTGTTGATTGTGTAAAAAGGTAATTAATTGTGTTATTTTTCTGCACATTGATAGTAAGCCTGTTTAATATTTAAAAAACTTTTAAATGACCTTTCTTTTCTGCTGGTAATACCAGAAAAATCTGCTGTCTTTTAGTATGTACTGCTATCTAATATGGGCAAAAATATGAAATATAAATAATAAAAAATATCAAATAATTGACTAGAGAAGCAAGTGTTAGTGTAGGACATTTAGTTAAAATCTGAAAATGTATAGAAAGTCTTTTTATAAGGAAAATATAGTAGGAATCTTTGGTAAGTTGTTTTCTCCATATTCTTCTGTCTGTTATATATGTATATGGGGTAGGTGGGATATGTTTTTGTTTGCTTGCTTGTTTTTTTTACAACTCAGTAGGTTGCATGTTTATCACTAGTTAATTGTATTCTTTCTGGCTGTCACTGAATCCAGCTCTCACAAACTGACTGAAATGCTCATGTATACAGTTTGCCCCAATATTTCTATGTTTGACTATGACATCACAAATCATTGTCAATATTAACCTTTTTTCTGCATGTGAAAACAGTTTAATCTATACAAAACCTTTTTTTTCCTCTATATACAGATTCTTAATTACCATTTTGCAATATGTTTGTGTTGTAAAATGTACAATATAGAAAAATATAGAAAAATAATCTATATTATAATCCACAAATCTTTTTATATATGCTATAGTCGTATGTTATGCTGTTTGTAAAGATAGCTTTGTAAACAATTGAGGTTATACAGTTGAAAAGCTTAAGGTCCCTTTGGCTTTATTCTAGTACCATTCCTGATCAGAGGACACCAGTTGCTTCAACTCACAGTATCAGCAGTGCAACAACACCCGATCGTATCCGATTCCCAAGAGGAACTGCCAGTCGTAGTACTTTCCATGGCCAGCTTAGAGAAAGGCGCACTGCCACCTATAATGGACCTCCTGCATCACCTAGTTTATCTCATGAAGCAACACCACTTTCACAGACACGAAGTAGGGGCTCCACTAATTTGTTCAGTAAATTGACTTCAAAGCTGACTAGAAGGTATGTATTTTTTAAAGAATCACAAACTAAGTTATGATTACTACAGGAATTTACAGTACTGAGCAGCTACACCTATATACATGTTGCATTTTTATGTGTCGGTGATTTTTTTTCTGTAACTATTTTAAAAGTTAAATATTGACTTTTATAGTGGAAATTATAGATCAGGTTCAGGAGCATTACTTCGTGATGAGCTGCCTGCATTTTCTCTCAATCAAATGTTACCCTAAAATGGATAATACAGTAGGTTTTCATCCTGCAAAAAGATTTGTAGTTGTGGAAGTCAATAAAAATGACTCTTTTAAAAAGTGTGAAATATAATGTAGAACATCTGTTGTAATGCAGCGTATTTTAATAAACAGGAGTGTGGAAAATGTTCCCTGTGCCTGGATCAGCTGGATTCAGGATTATCTTTGATTGAACTGAAACATGCACGTTTCCAATACTTTGGTTCAGGCACAGTCAACAGTTGATCAGGATGGAACTGTTGAGAGTGGATAAGGAGAGAATACTGTTCGCTAAAGGGAGGCAGGAGAAAGTCCTGAGAAGATTAGGGGATGGTAGGACAGGGAGACATACCAAGTGGTGATATTGGTATTGGCTGAAAGGAATGAATCCCCAGGAAGACTGGGAGGCAGACAGGCAGGGGAAATATTGTGCCAAGTTTTAACTTAGGAAATCTTATCAACAGAACCTTTTTTTGGTTAACGTTTCTGAAACGTTGCCTCTTTGCTGTTTATCTACTTGGTAGTTTTATTGTAATTCAGCTCTGTTGCATATCACAAGAAAATGGGAAGCATTCTTTATAAGACCTGTTCTCAAAATGCACCACATATAGGACACAAAGCATTAACTCTAGATACCATGTTAATGTTCAATGCTTTAGACTTGTAGAGACAAAAGCAGATGGACAGTATAGGTGCTGTAGCCTCACAATGAAAATCTGAGAATGTAACAGTTTCAAACGTAACCTCTTTTACACCCTTTTGTCTACTTTCAAATAATTAATGTTACAGCTGCAAATTTTACTAGAAATGTGAGAAAGAAGATGGTTTTTGTGGGCATTTATCTTTGGAACTATTGATTACTAGGAGCTGCACATCCAAAACTCCCATGCTTCAGAGATCCCAGTTGCAATTAATTAAGCAAATGGGTAAAGTCCATTCCTTAGTTGTAGAAGATGTTTTGTAAGCAGAAGATACCAGGTTCTATCTTCAATACGTCCATGTAAATTTGGATGTTCAGATATATTGATTAACTGAAGTTCTTGTGTTTTTTTCACCGAAAAATCTCCAAATGCTCAGCTGTTTTCTATAAGAGAGTTTTACTGTACCACCATTGCTTAGATCATTTTAATGATGCCTGATTATGGTTTAAACCACACGTGCAATATTAATCCTTATCTGTACCGATGCATTGGGTATCCAATACAAATTTTATGACTGATGAAAAAAGAAAGAATCCCATTCATTTGGTAGCAGGGAACTTGGACATGAAGTACGAATAAAGGAGAATATTTGAAGTGCTGTTAACAAAAGTTAAGAGCTCTGTGGAGAATATTTTGGGCCAACTAGTTATTTTTTTTTGCTGAATAACAGAGTTTTTACTTTTTAAAAGTCATTTTAGTCCAAAACTGGGATGTGCAAAATTCAACAGTTTGGGAATGCAATGTTTTGTTCCGGAGTAGGCAAATATTGTACATCCCTAGCCCAAAATATTCAAATACTTACAACGTGAGTTCCCATTGTATCTGAATTTTTCAAAGAATTCTGTAAACAACCTGAAATGTGCATGGTACTTATCTATCCGTTCAGTATTTTAATCCACAGCTACATTCTTGAATCATACATAGATAGTTCTATAATTTATCAGCATACTTTTTAAGCAAAGTCCTTTTGAATAGTTAATCATATTTGTAGAAACTTGTTTATAAGATTCAGAACAGAGTCCTAAAATATGTGCATTCAGAAAGTACTACTTTTCATACCTTTGTTACCAAGGATGTAATATGTGCATTATTTCTGCAAGTGATCAGAGCTATGTATACAACTGACCAAACATTTAACTTTAACTCCAAAATGTAGTAATTTTATGTTTGGAATGATTCGTACATATTTCCCAAACCATCATCCTTTGTGTATTTATATCCTACAACAATGTTGTTTTAGGCATTTAAAACATTAAACAAAATATGGGTGTTTATCTTATTTGAAATATTTGTGATTCTGTCCTTGGAAAATAGAAAAAAGTAGTACATTTAGATCATATAATGAGGAAATAAATTGGAAAAATACATTTTTTCAAGTCCCCAGTGCTTTAAAATATACTTCTTTAGATGTAGGCAGAAATTATTCAATCAATCCTATTTAAATCACCTGATTATTTCTCTCAAGCTCAGAGAATGTAGAGGAAACTGGCAAAACTACTTGTCAATTTTTTTCCATCCAGTTTTTGATGACCTTTTTCTTCTTGAATGCCTAGTGAGATTTTCTATTGTAATAATATTGTAGACAGAATGAGCATTTGTGGGTTGGCGAAGCAGGTCATCTTCCACCTGCCTCCTCTGAGGGCTAATAGCCTTTGTTTTCAAATTGTCTTCAAGAACATGTGCATATTACCTACTGTCTATTACAGTAGTATACAGTAATACAGTGTCCTAATTTAACTGTCTTTGGTTAATGATAAAATGTAGAAAGCAGAAGTGACATGAAAGGATTCTCTGCTACTCAGAAGAGGTTCTAGATCAGTGGTGGCGAACCTTTTAGAGACCGAGTGCCCAAACTGCAACCCAAAACCCACTTATGCATCGTCGGGTGCCGGGTGGGTGTGGCCCATTGGGTGGGCGTGGCTACAGTGGTAACAGCAGACTGGGTGGGATTAAAAAGTTCAATCAATCAATTCCAACTTTGCAAGATCTTTTTTTTTCCCGCAAGAAGTTGAAATTGACTGATTGATTGAACCTCTTTTTTTTTTTGCACACGGCGGCGGAGGCCTAAAGCGAAAAGGTTTTATAAAACCCAGCTGAAGGCCTAGGACTGGGGCGACGGCGCGCGTGCCCACAGAGAGGGCTCTGAGTGCCGCCTCTGGCACCTGTGCCATAGGTTCGCCACCACTGTTCTAGATCAAGCATTGATAAGTACTAGGAGCACACAGAGAAGAAAAATGTTGAATTCCTTTTAATACTGAAAGGCCATCCTTTTCAATAACTATTTTTAATTTAATTAATGAATTTGAAGTGTTTCCATATTTCACTCAGCTAGACTTATTCTGTGTCTTACACAATGAATAGCTTTTCAGTTTATTTCATAATAACCCATTTGTTAATTATTATTTTGACTTTAATTTCTTTTAGAAACATGTCATTCAGGTTTATCAAAAGGTAGGATTTTATTCATATTTTAAGAACCAGCTCTTGCAATTAACACTGAATTTGGCTTTCTAGCCTTGATTTTTCTTTTTTAAAATGAAACAACACTAAACCTTCTGCTGAGAACTAAATACTTTTCATGAACCCAAGAAAATAAAATAAAAAACTTCATATTAACTAATGATAATCCCTGTGGACCCCTGAATAATGAGATGCAAAGCATGCCTTGTGCGCTTTACTTACTTCAATAGTACCAAAAATAATTTTATTCTTTATACTAATACACTTAGCATGCTTGTGATTGGAGATTGATGTTTGGTGATACTGATTTAAACGAGTAATGTACAAGAAACAGGTAAGTAACTCAGAACTTGCTTTATCATTCACATTTTAGTTTCAGTACCTTGTAAATTTCCACTAATACATTCAGAAGTGATTGATGCTTTGCAAATAAACTATAAAATATTGATAATGAGTGTTAAATATCTTCAAGATTTTCAGAAAGTGTGTTGTGTGTTGGTAAAAATGGAAGATGATATCTTTGCTTGATATTGATGAATATGTTAATCAGAAAAGAAGGAGAAACAAAGAAGCCGTTGCTTCCTACTTCTCCCTTGTCAGTCTGCAGCCAGGAAGAGCTTGTCGGAGCTTGCCTGAATAATCTGCAAGTTTGAGAAGGATTTTTCATACTCCTTGGTTTACGAAAAAATGGAATGTAGCTTATTGCATATATGTGTAATTAGAGCTGGTTGGCTCACTGTCTTTGCCATTTGCAAAATTAGTCATCAGTTAGTGTGTACTTGTATTTTTTGTTACTGCCTTCATTCTCTTCAGCCTCTCTTCATACACTTGGCTTCATGTTCTTCCCACAGAGAGCTTCTCCACTTTCATATGGACTGCATCCAGTCCATATGCATTATAAGCAGAGTTTTCTTATGCAATAGGAGTTGCCTTTGCTTTATTTCCCCTCTTCTGACTGCTAGATAGTCTCCCAGTTCTTCTGAGTAGGAAGAAGGGAGAATCTGTTCTATTGGCAAATACTGTTCAATGTTTGATAGTATAATAGTTAAGACTGTTAGAGCTATTTTGCACGTATAGTTGTCAGCTTACAATGGTTTTGAGCTAAATGGAGGTAGTTTAGTGACTATTCAAAGTTTACAACGGTGCTGAAAAAAAGTACCTTAACGACAGGTCCTCGCACTTACAACCGTCAAAGCATCCCTACAGTCAAGTGATAGCAATCCAAGCACTTGGCAACCACCTCATATTTGCGGGAGTTGCGGTGTCCTCGGATCAAGCGGTTGCCATTTTCGACCTTCCTAGCCGCCTTCCAACAAGCAAAACCTACAAGGAAGCCAGTGGCAAGGTTGCATGTCAGTCATGTGATGTCTCATTTAACGACCACAGTGATTCACTTCATGACTATGGCAAAAAATGTAACATTGAGTGCAATCACATGATGCCTCACTTAACAACCGTACTTAACGACAAATTTTCTGGTCCCAATTGTGGTTATAAGTTGAGGACCACCTATAGATTGAATTCAGCTGTTGTTCTTGCAGGCCAAAATATGTTGTAAGGATTACATAATTAAAGCTATTGTCAATGGGCATCCCAGGAAGCATATTTCACACAAATGAAATGCACAAGTCCTCAGTAAGAACACTATTCCCCACTATTTTCAGTTCCATTCAAAATTAAATGAAAGCATGTTTTCTGTAGACATCGCCTGCTTTTATTTTTCTATGAGAGCACCTTGGTTAATTAGGCCACTGGATTTTTGAAATAATCTTGAATGAAAGTATATAATCTTTTGAGACATTTTCATTTCAGTTTTTGAGACCAAAATATACAAATGTTATGTTACAATCTTACACATAAAAACTACCACTTCTTCCTGTAAAATTACTTAAAACCTCTCCCCAGTGACAGAACCATTTCAAATACAATTAAAAATTATTTTGCTTTAAGTTGTGTAGTCTTCCATATATTTCTCCAGTGGTGTTTGCATCATAACAGCCTTATCTTACTTTTAGTGTAGTTTTATACAGCTGTTCTGGTACTAGCAAATAGAGGCATCCTTGTTTTGAGTTAAAACTAATACATTTTACTTCTTAATAGAGTATAAAACCAGTGAATATTTTAGTTTTGTTTATTTATAACTTTTTAACACTCTTGTCCAATCCCCCCAATGAAGTAATAAAAATATAAAAATCTGTTAAAACATATTTTTAAAAGAAGCAACAGAACAGCAGTAGAAACCATTCAGGCACTGAAATCACTAAGAGAAGACTGTCTAAAAAGCACTTTTGATTCTGTATTGATATTTATAATTTTAATTTTAGCACATTCTGCTTGTATTGTTGTTAGTTACAGCTTAATTGACAATATAAAAGCCATCTGGTTTTGTTGCAGCCATACACCAGTTTTCCAATTATAAATTCCTATTAGGTTTTTCTTATCGGCTTAACTGAGTTAACTGCTTAATTTATAATGTTTAGCATATATCTTGCAGCACTATATTAACAAACTAACAACATTTACCAGTACAAGTGCCCTTGCATAACACAGTGCCATAACAATAAATTATAGCCAAAGATTATATTTCTTATTTATCTTTTGCTATCTTCCAGTATATTTTGCTTTTCTAAGACACAATGCAAATTAACAGAAGTTATATTATTATTTTTATGTTATGTTAGAGACCAGTATTTCTAATACTATAACATTAATTAGCCTTTTAATTGTTGTGTATAATGCTACTGTCAAATTTTATAGCTCTGCAGAAGTGGACTTCACATTTGTATGGAGCTCTAGATTACATAGTTATAAATCCTTAATAGATTTAAATCATAGTGCACTGAAGTGCAAAAAGAAATAAGTTTAGTTTTCACAGATCTGTGAAATAATTCAGACATTCATATCAACCAGCTTTATTTTCATACAGCAGCCAGCCAGCCTCTTTAGAATATATTTAGACACTGCCTTACTGCCTTGTTTCCTGTGCAGAATAGATGTAGAATTTCACCTGAATATGTTGAGCCAATCAAATATATTTTTATTGTACTATATTTTATACTGACTTTTGAGGTAAAATTTTCTATATCAGTGTGATATAGAATTCCACACAAAGCTGTGACAGTTCTGCAATTAGGGATTCGGATAAGATCTGTCTAAAGACTTTGTCAGCATATTTTCAGTTCAGAATCTCAATCTTCTAAAAATGATATAGGTAGCTCTGAACATACAGTGCCAAGAAAGGATTTCTTCCTTATTACTGTATTAGCTATTTATCTCTCCATTGACAGTAATTTTGTCATAGGCAGAAATTTATTTTAAAGAGAGGTTTAAATATATATCTTTTTAAAACCATATATTAATTAGAAAATATAGAAGGCTAGTTGAGATTCTTGTTTCACATACAGTTTATGCAAGTTTTATTTTCATTTCTTCCTGAAAGAGTTAAGACATATTTATCTTGTATTATTTCTACTTTCTTTAAAGATTTATTGTTAACAGGTAAGGTAGAACTATGCTAAGTACATGAAGTTACAGAATAATAAAATTTCTAACTGAAAATGTGGATACTGTGAACAGCAATTATCAATTTGGCTGTAAAATTAGGAAATTTATGTATCAAAGAAATGCTTCCAAAATTCTGGGAAGAATAAAACACAAATATAAGGTGTTTCTATTAGTTTATCTTAAACTGAAATGAATTTTTATTGCTTTAATTTTTTTCCTTCCTATCTAGCATCTTCTGCAAGTAATTGAATCTTTCACGACCAACTTGTTTCTAATATCTCTAGAATATCTCAAATAGCAAATACTTGAGGCTTCTCAATTTATTTGATATAGAAAAAGGCATGCTTGATATCCTGAATGTACTCATTATTTCAGTGTTTAAACCCAAGCAGTGAATTGCAATTAAATTGAATGAGATGTCAGTGTTGCCGTGTTCTGCCATCATTATTTGTGCTAGTGTAAGATTTGTCTTCTCTTTCCTGCTTTCTTTGTGCTTCGGCATTGTTTTCATTGAGGCTCCCGACTGAATATGAGAGGAATGGGAGATATGAGGGCTCAAGGTGAGGGAAAAATGTTTTTTGCTTAAAATGTTAACTTAGATTAGTATGTCTCGTTCTCCCCTCCTTCAAAATATGTAAGGGTGTTGGTAGTGTGGTGGTGCTGGTGACTTCAGTATCTGAAACTCAAAATGCTTCCTATCTGCGAAACTGTGATTAAGTCATTCAAGGTACATGATTCTGATTTCTCATGCAGGTCTAGGCCTACTTCCATATCCTTAGAAAGAATCCATAATCTTAGCTGCAGTGTAATAAATCAGCTCTGAGAGATCCAGCAGGTAGTTTGCTGCTAAAGAATGCTCTCTGTTTAACTTCAGATTGTCTTGAAAGGAAGCTACTTTCATTGCCAGATAAAGAAGGAGCTACATGCTGAAATTGCCAGTTCAGATCCTACGATGGGAAAACATCCTGCCCTAGAAAACAGTTTCATGTGACTAGGACTTAATCACAGAAATGTCTGTAACAAGGGCTTTGTTTTGAACGATGAGCTAATATTTTTTACATAAATTCCTAGATTTTATTAGCCTAAAAAACCCCATCCACCACCATCTCTAGGATCCTGTTAGAAAATACCACATGTTGGGAAATTAAATGAATTTTCAGAATTTAGGTGATTAATGCTTTTCAGAAGGGCATGGCAATTTTCACAGGATCAAGCAGCAGAAGAGTATGAACTTCTAAAAATTCCTGTGACCTCATTTTCTCTTCGCTTATCCCCAAAGAGTAAGGAAATTGAGTTGGGAAAGGAATGAAGCCATTTGTCATATACAATCAAATGTATTTTCACCCAGAAGACTGTAGTCCAATAAACTATAAACAAAAATCTTAACAGCTACTGGTGTAAATTGAACCAGATTGCAGTTTATAATTTTAATTCTAATTTACCTATATTTACAGTATAACAGTTTTGGAATAAGTATGTTAATTTTGCTGTTCTTCCTGGAGGAAAACAAAAATGACATTTTTTCACCCATACAAATTATGAATGACAATTTATAAAAGAATTTGGTGAAACCCATATTATTAATGTAAAACATGAAAAATTATAATCTGTTTATTTTTTTAAAGAAAATAGAAAATTTTAAGTCTGAAGTCATCTTCTAGCAATTATAAACGTTTAAAGAGTCTGTTCTAATAGGTCTTCTGCACCTGTTTGAAGTGCAGCACCAATTTATTGTGCTCTCCCTAAAGAGTCTTAGTAGTGTAAGTTGTTCCTTAAAGCCCCCAATTGCCAATGTTGTACATTTCCCTCAATATAATCTATAAAAGTTGGCATAGGCAAGCCTATTTATTTGATATTCTGTGAGGACAGGAATATGATCAATAAGGGAGAAACATTTGGAGCAGAGAAGTTGCAGCAAAGTAATACGCAATACTATAGTCACACTTCCATTTGCAGCCCTCACCCCACCCTCATAACATCTGTTTTCAGGAGGAAGTAACTGTGGCCTTTTTTAGCTTTAGTTTTATAGGCCTGTGTCTAATTCATGTGTTGCTAAACACTAACATAAGCTTTTAATACTGATAGAAGAATGTTTTTAATAATGCATGTTTCAAAAGACAATAGCTTTTACTAACAGCATCTTCCAGGTTCATCCGTGAATACTGAAACTTGATTTCATTTCAGTCGTAACGTGGCTGTTGATCAGAAGGATGACAACAAAGAAGCCAAACCCCGTTCACTACGATTTACTTGGAGCATGAAAACTACCAGTTCAATGGATCCAAATGATATGATGAGGGAAATTCGCAAGGTCCTGGATGCCAATAATTGTGACTATGAACAGAGGGAACGTTTCTTGCTTTTCTGTGTCCATGGGGATGGCCATGCAGAAAACCTCGTGCAATGGGAGATGGAGGTGTGTAAGCTACCCAGACTGTCCCTGAATGGAGTTCGCTTTAAACGGATTTCGGGAACATCCATAGCTTTTAAAAACATTGCTTCGAAAATTGCCAATGAATTAAAGCTGTAATGAGAAGAGCAATCAAGTTTGTAAATTAAGTAGCAAATTCAAGTGTTTTTGTTTTGTTTTTGAGGACACCAATGGTCATGTATAGAATACTTAGGGCAATAACTTCTGCATCTTCTGGATCGTGGTATTAAAACAAAACAGTTCAGACAAGCTGCTGAGCTGGGAGGGAAGTTGGACTTTTTTTTATAAGTGCACTACAGCATTAAAGTTGCCTATGTAAAATATTCCCTTCTGCTTTATTTCCAATGCTTTTGAGTCTTGACAAACAATCTAAAACACACCATGTATACATTTGGATATTCCTCCTGTTGTGTGGATGTGTGAATGTACAGTATGTGTGTACAATTATAATATAAAAGTATTATATGTAAACCATTTATAGCATCAGAACTGTACCAGTACCTCTTCCGGGTTAATTTTGGTGCTAAAATTGAAATGGCCAAGGTGAAAGCCCTTAAAAATACTAAATAATCGGTAAACACAAGTTTCACAGTTCACTGTTGTGTTTAGTAAGATTATGAAGGTTTGGGTTTATGGGTGTGAACGTTATTCCTGTGTTTTTTAAAATTAATTTTCATGACATTTAAATTTTCACCCCAAATCATTCTTTCTTTTCTTCTATTTATTATTATTTAAGTCTGAAATCAGTTTAAATTACTTATGATAATTAAAATTGTGGGGGAAATGCTTCAAGGTTTCTTTTTTTCCTTTGCTAAGCTGGTTGAGCAATTTATCCTCATTTTGTTTTTTTCTAGTACACATTATAATTTTTAAATTTTTACTTGAAAAGTTTGTTCTCAACTCCCATTCATTTCAGTGAGGCTGGTGCAGGGAAAACCTGTTGGTAATGAAATCCTATAGAAACAGCCTGAAAAACTGATAGAAAGTTTGCATTTAATAATGCATACTGAAGTAAAAAAGATATATTCAGACCTTTCTAGTGTGAAAGAAATTCCTGTGGCAAAATAACTGGGCCGGATCAGCAAAAAATGATCAAGAGAGAGAATTCTTGAATTCCAGTAATTTAACTTTCTTGTAGGTATTGTACAATGATTGATAATGTTAATCATAAACAGAACACTATCAGCATAGTTTATAAAAGTGAGAAAGTAATGACCTGTCCTGTCAGGATTTATGTTTTACTTGGTCTTTCACAATTGTTTGCTGTCCAGATTTTAAAATTGGTTATGCAGGCTGGGAATTATGGGAATGGTAAAAAATATTAGGGAGATTAGAGGATTGAGGAAAACTATTCTAAGTCTATCTTATGGTGTTAGAGGCTTAAACTTCCTTAAAGCCTTGTTGCTGGTCCAGTCTTCCTTTATCATCAATTGCATCAATATAGCTTTTCCAGAAAAAGCTGTGGAAAACGGGGGGGGGGGGGG